CCCCCCCCCCGACCACTGCTGACTTACTTCCAACCACCACCCAACTGATCCCCAACCATGGCCCAACCTCCTGTTCTCTCCCGAATTTAACATGTTGAAACATTCTGCTGGTGGAGCAGAAGACCAGCAAAACAACACAGCCGACATTGTTTCCGACCGACTCTCAACCATGGTTAGGGGGAGATCGTTCCGTAAGCCATATTCGACTGTGTGACAGGGGCTTTAAAGAAATCGTTATTGGTGATAGGACACTAATCATTACAGTGTGCCTCACTTACCCTATAGTAGACATTTTCACAAGCGTTGTAAAGCCTTGTGATCCTTTAGTCAGATTGCTCCGCACTTCCACATGGTGTTGGTCTGGGTCGTATTTGAAATCGCCTGGTCGAAGAAGGACGTGGAAATAGATCATCATTTTGTCAGCACCCGTCTCATCCTCCTCTTCTCTTTGGTCAGTGTCTACCTCTTCTTCGTCTTGTTGATGCTGGGATTTTGTCTCGTCTGCTTCCGTGCTCTGTCTGCACATATACACAATCACAAAACCAAAGTTGATATATAATACAGATGTTTCAATATGACACGTTCAAAGAATGGGTTTTTTAAACCACCATAGCCGGCTATTAGAAATGCCGGAGAATGTGCTTTGAGATTAGGACAAACGCTTTGTACAGGATGATGTACATGCTAGTATTATACAATGGAGGTACCTGTCTGAATCCCCATCCTTCTTAGCAGGGTTCGCTAAGTTTTTTCGTTTTTCTGCCTTCGCCTTCTTTCTCATTCTCTTCCTTTGGCTTTTTGACATCTTTTCTTGACTTCCGTTACCCTTGGATTTCTAAAACACAGGAAAAAAATGATATTGATATGTCAATATTTAGTGATGCCAGGGTGCCGTTGTAATAATTGCAATCATTAACCTCACGAAGATACAATGAAAATAAGTGTCATGTGTTGATGCAGATATATGATGAAAACTTTACTGACCTCTTTAGTTTTCTCGTTGTGTCTATGTTTCCCTTCTACGTCTTTGTCAGTTTCACTGCACGTTTTCTTTCCATCAGCATTCTGTGTGGCCCCGGGCTTCCCTTGCTCCGCTTTTGCACCAGGTTTCTCTTTCTCCGCTTGTGCACCAGGCTCCTCTTTCTTCACTTGTGCACCAGGCTCCTCTTTCTTCACTTGTGCACCAGGCTCCTCTTTCTTCACTTGTGCACCAGGCTCCTCTTTCTTCTCTTTTGCACCAGGGTCCTCTTTCTTCCCTTTGGTACCAGGCTCCTCTTTCTCCACTTGGCAACCAGGATCCCCTTTCCCAACTTGTGCACCAGGCCGCTCTTTCTTCACTTTTGCACCAGGATCCCCTTTCCTCACTTGTGTACTAGGCTCCTCTTTCTTTACTTTTGCAGTAGCCCCCCCCTTCTTGACTTGTGCACCAGGCTCCTCTTTCTCCACTTGTGCACCAGGCTCCTCTTTCTCCACTTGTGCACCAGGTCCCTCTTTCTTTACTTGTGCACCAGGCTCCCCTTTTTCCACGTGTGCACCAGGCTCCTCTTCCTTCACTTGTGTACCAGGCTCCTCTTTCTTCACTTGTGCACCAGGCTGCTCCCCTATATCCACTTGTGCACCAGGTCCCTCTTTCTTTACTTGTGCACCATGTTCCCCTTTTCCCACTTGTGCACCAGGCTCCTCTTTCTCCACTTTCGCCACTTTTGCACCAGGCTCCTCTTTCTTTACTTGTGCACCAGGCTCCTCTTTCTCCACTTGTGCACCAGGCTCCTCTCTCTTTACTTGTGCACCAGGCGCCTCTTTCTCCACTTGTGCACCAGGCTCCTCTTTCTCCACTTGTGCACCAGGCTCCTCTTTCTCCACTTGTGCACCAGGCTCCTCTCTCTCCACTTGTGCACCAGGCTCCACTTTCTCCACTTGTGCACCAGGCTCCTCTTCCTTCACTTGTGCACCAGGCTCCTCTTTCTTCACGTGTGCACCAGGCTCCCCTTTCTCCACTTGTGCACCAGGCTCCTCTTTCTTTACTTGTGCACCAGGCTCCTCTTTCTTCCCTTCTGCACAAGGCTCCCCCTTTTCTACTTGTGCACCAGGCCCCTTGGCCCCGTCTTCTCCTTGACCCTCAGTAGAAGGATAAGCTGATTCCTTTTGGACTTTGTCCAGCTCTGTACTAGGTCTGCAATTTTTGTCATGTCCATGGTGCTCAGCAGCGTTGGCAGAGCTTGTGACAACTTGACTATTTTGCAATGCCAGTTGTTCATCACGTGGCGCTGGTGACCCACCAGCACCGTCCTCGCTGGAGTTGTCTGCAGTAGGAGTTGTTGTGTCCTTGTCTCTGTCGGTCTCTGTCATCATCTTGTCTTCTAGTATGATGAAGCAATGAGTATATACAATTGGATATGCAGGCGCTGAACAAAAACTGTATCAGAAACTGCTATACATGATATGACATGTCTAAGAACACCTATAATCCAATCGCTATGCAAATCAATTCGAGTAGATAGACAGTGTATAGTAATGCAGGTATCCATGTTAGTATGATAATCATATTCTTATTACCCTTATGTGAGATAAAAGACATAACAATGGAAGTTTAATGTGTGAAGCACTACGTTGAACACTGGTCATCTGGTTATATAGTATTTATGCCTAGCATCCATCGGCAGTTATGGTCTATCACATATGTTCTATTTCAAAATGACCCAAAGGAAAACATGCATACTATCATTACAGAATGGTAAACAAGAGTTCCGAGATCTCATACCTCCATGAAATATGGACTTGATATGTAAATGTGAATTTATTTTTTAATTATGCAAATAACATCTACATTAACATAATATATGCATCGTGCTGTTAACTTTTGATTAACTTACAGATGTCACATTCCCATCATTCACCATCAAGAAAGCATAGAATTTTTGCATTAATTATGCAAATAAGGTCATCATTTGCATAATTAGTATCTGTCGATGTTCCATCTGCCATAGGTTATATACATTACATGTATGAAAGTACTATAATGTAAAACACTGTAATTATAGAATTTTCTCAATAATTATGCAAATTACGTCCTCATTTGCATAATTTGCATTTCATTATGTATATCTCTCTCTCAGCTACATGTCCCATGCAGTTCCAGGACAAGCTGCTAGGGGGACCAAACCCACACCACTTATTCCTGACAGGAAAAGCTATCTGTCACCAAAGACCATAGCATGTTCAGGACAAAAGATACAAAAACCAGAAGTTCTACTGCAGTACCAAGGCCATCCACCAGGGGGCCATATTTGACCTTGACTTTTGACTTCCTAAGACTTAACAGCATACCAAATATCATCACAATCCATAAAGGCGTTCTGAAGTTATGCTGACTACAAATGTGCGGAAACACACACACACACACACACAGACGCGCCAAAAACAATACCTCCATTTTTCATGGAGGTAATTATGCAAAAAACACAGGTTTCCCATAATGTGTACATAATGTCTAGGACAATCTTGAACGGGCATTGCAAACGGTCATTTTTAACGAGAATATTAGAAAATCAACACCAGTATAATATTTTTCTCTCATCATAACAAAACAAGATCTCGATTAATTATTACCTCATACCTTTGTCATGTATTTTGTATCATTTAGTTTTGGCTGTCAGAGATGTGCTGCTGTGATATAGTTTGACTTTTATTTGCCTGGTATGTGAACCAAAGGATCTGTGTGGCACATAGAGTGCATCGGGACTAGTATAGCGGTGCCGACAAAATTGATTCAAAATCGAAAGTTCATGCCTGGCGCAATTTAGCCTTATAAACATCTCCCCCTCCCCTGACTGTGAATATCTGTTCACATTTAGAGGGGGGGAGATGTTTATAAGGCTAAATTGCGCCAGGCAACTATATATAGTTCCTTTCATATAGTTACTTCCATATATTTCATTGTTCTATTTTGCAAGCCATTTTTGGGAATATAATTCTTGGTGAAAAAAGAAAGCGCCTAGGTCCACAACATGCAGTCTTGATGAGTAAGAGTGCGTTGACCCCTGACCCATTGGCACGGCGCAGCAATCATCCCGGAAGTTCGAAGCGCCCGCCGCGCTTCCTATAAATGCATTCTAAAATACCCTCCAAAGAACAGTGGCTGGGACGCATATAGAAGATGCATGTGCAACCAAACAATTGTTGGGTGCTGCGGGACTACGGTTAATTAAAAGCCCGAAATCCAGGTATGAAATCGGCGCCTAGCTTCTAAATTGTGCCATGCTCATGCCCGATGACCGTTTGGAGGTCCATAAAGGCGTTATGATTCATTAGTTATGCTGACTACAAATGTGCGGAAACACTGTATGTCCCGACGTATTGTATGATGTTATATGTCTAATGTCTCCCTGCATGTTCGGTCAGTTATGGCCGACGTGACCTGGGCTCAATGTACCTTTCTTTTATTTGTGAATAAAGAATGATTTTACTACACAGACACACAGACACGCCAAAAACAATACCTCCATTTTTCATGGAGGTAATAAAGTCTGTGTCGTCTTATCTGTCTTGGCGCGGGCCTTACTCCCTCATGTTTCCAACTCTCTTGACTTTTCAACCTTGTACTGGCCTGACCAGTGGAGGTGTGCTGTAGACTATGTCGACGCTCAAGTGTTTGGCTGAGTCGGTGTGCACGGAAAGGCATGCTTGCCACAGGTAGAGATGCGGAATGTTCGGAAGGGCGCCATGGCCAATTTAATCAACTCTATCTACCGAATAAATGTGCGTTATCTTTTATAAAAACATTCTCCTGTATGCAATAGAACTCCACTTCCGCAAAATCTAATATTTCTCAATGATTGCAAAGTTACGGTGTGCGTAACGTATGCTAGTATATGCTAGCAATGCAGTACTTAAAATGGACGCTAGAAGGCGTAACAAGATTGATACTGTTCAACGTTTCAACATAAAAAAACTAGTAAACTAGAGTTCCACGATCTCATACCTTCGCCAAATGATGTTAATCTTTATGACTGACAAAGATGATTTCTTCTGATTATGCAAATAAAATCCTCATTTGTATTATATTTATATTATAATATTGTCTTATAATATTGTATTATATAGTTGATCATATTCTCCATCAAAAGACAGCCTTATCTTAGCAAAGAAAGCCGTTCTATCATTTCCTCATAAATTATGCAAATGAGGTCCTTATTTGAATAAGTTATGTTTATTGATGTTCTCCTTCACTTAACTATCAAATACCCCAAGTATGAAATTCCAGGCAGTTAGCATTATGGAATTATAACATTTTCTCATTAATTATGCAAATTAGGTGTTAATTTACATAATTAATATCTGCCTGTGTTTCTCTCGTTCTCAATTACATACGTCACAAGCTTGAATAGTCCTATAATGTAATGCAGCCTATTTATAGAATTTCGCCATTAATTATGTAAATTAGATCCAGATTTGCTTAATTGTCACATAATTATGTCAAGCGTCACTTGAGCTACCTACATACCAAAATTCACGAAGATCCGTCCACCGGTTCTTGAGTAATCCTCTTTTTAATATTTTCAAACAAATAGCCCTGCAGTTCCTGGGCAAGCCGCTAGGGGGCCCAAACTCGTGTCACTTCTTTCCCAGCATGAGAGCTACCTACCATCCAAATTTCGTCACCCCAGCATGTCTAGATCATGAGATATCAAAACCGGAAGTTCAGCTGCAGTACCATAACAAGCCGCTAGGGGGTCCAAAATCTAATCATTTCCAGGTCTCATCAAGACCTACCCACCTACCAAATATCAAGATAATCCATCTAAGCTTTCTCGAGTTATGCTGTTGACAGACACACACACAGACACACACACAGACACACAGACACACGGCCACGAAAACATAACCTTCTTGGCGAAGGTAACAAATTGATCACCAATATTTTGTTCCATGCCAAATATTAATTTTTGCTCAGAACATAACACAAATTGTTACTGATACAACATACGCGTACGTCTTTAACCGTATTTGTTTTGATGTAAAGGTGGGGTAGTACCACAAGTACAGACTATCTAGAAGGTAATAACCCTTGGTAGTATTAAGTTGATTCATCTATTGTTTTGTACGTAGGTCAATTTTGTTGTACCCAAGTATCTGTCTACATGTATTTAAGGACCTTACGAAAGTCGCTGTACTTTAGTTGTGTCAATAAAGTTCTTCATATTGTTCAAGTTATTGGATCTGATTGGTATCCCGCGTTGTTCTTTTAAAGGCATCCAATGCAATTTTAGGGCAGCAAAACTGGAAATATTCTGAATAAGGCAATCTTTGTGATATTGACACTTACTGCTTCACATTAGCACATTTGAATCAGCATATCATACTTTGGACTTTTAAAACTGTAGAAACAAGCCCCAAGATGAGTCCTTTATTTTCTGGGTGGTACCCTAAAAATCAGCCCGGGGGCCCTTGCGGTAACCATTTTCCGTCAGAATGTTGGGTATTTTTGCTCCATGGGGGTCAAGATACATGGGAACAGTGTTGTTTCAACTGATAAGTGACTAGAATATTGACGTTGGAAAAATCGGGTTTCCAATCCCTAAAAACTGCACTGGATGCCTTTAAAGGCCAACAATACATGAATAAGAAATGATAGTTAGAAAGATAAGATAGAGTTTCCATACCTTCTGTTGAAGGTGCTGAAGGAGAGTTATGATATCCCGTTGAGTCCGGAGGCCCTGGCCCCTCCCCTCCCGCTCGGCTCAGAAGTTTTACCCCACAGAACGGGCAGAACTTGAACACTTCATGTGTGAAGCTGCACTTGGGGCACTCCATGGTGGCGTGGTGAAACAGCTTTACTCACAACTACGTACAAAACGAAATGAAGTTGAATGTAACAAACTTCCGATAATGATGTGGAAATGATGACATATCAGCAAGACGATGGGAATCGTAAAATCTAGCCAAATCGGGAGAATATGATTTGGCATTTGGTATTGGATAACCTTTGCCCTAAGAAGAGGAAATGTTACCCGTACCGTGGGTTTACTCTCGTAGCTGATTATTATTTTTTTACTGTATGTTTGTCAAATTCTGCACTCCATAACTCCTTATCTCAAATGCTGGTCTACGTTTTCTAAATTAATCAATTTTATGACTTAATTATACAAGCAGGTGTGTAACATGACCCAACCCCCCTCCCCCGAGGCCACACCGACTTAATCTTATGGATGACATCCACGCGCGCATTGAATTTCGACTGTTCTCAACAAAAAAAAGGTCACGTCCACCGATCGAGGCTCTGGCCTGGCTCTAGGTTGGTTAGTGACAATACGGAGCCGGGCACCCAGGCTACCGAATCTCCATGACTCAAGAACTCAGTACATACGTACAGTGCTGATTCATAAATACCTCAAAAAGCCAGCATGTCCCAGCTTGTATACGTCGCTAAGTACAGTAGCAAATTCATCAGCTTTGTATTCCTGTGGTCTAGTAGCATTTTTATTTTTGGCTGGATTTTTTTTCATTCACCCGCGCGCACTAGTTTCGGGGTCTTCGGAGGATGTCATCCATAAAATTAGGACGGTGTGGCCTTAGCAGTAACATAGGTATACAATGAAGGTGTCTTACAGTTACCTGAGATACATGTGAAATGGCAGTAAAATGTTAATCAGGCAGATTTCTTTATCCAGATAATTTTTTGTTGTCCTACCCTGAAACTGAACTGCATGTCTTTTAAGTTAAAAATTCTAGCCCCACTTCTGCGATATTCTGTGGTTAAGCTAAATGGCAGAATAGGAAACGTCATTTTGGATATCCGTTCTCACATCTGCACTTACCTGTGGTCAATCCGTTACACAGTGATAAGTTGAAAGGCTTACATCAAGTACTTACCGATCGATATGAAATGACTGTGAGTTTCTATTCCTCTTTACGACTATGAGACTAGTAGAAACCCCCAGCAATTTAAGGGTATGAGAGGGTGGGGAATTCCCCATGGTTTCGTATGTCTCATTACACAGTGATTTAGTTTCGACGCTTTGTCAGCATGTAATACACACCGTTTGGTGAATGACAAGTAAACAAATGCGAATGCGACTTTTGTCCTTTTCGGCGGTGGGAGACTTGTGACAAAAATCCCCCTATAGTAGCGCTGTCAGCTGAAGGGTGAGAGGGCGGGGAATTTCCGATAATATCATATGGCCTGTCGTGTCCCCTTTACTGATTTAGTGCTCTCCTATATTGTTCCTACATTGCTATTAAGCAGTGGTTAGGCCTGTTTTAATGTGTTCTAAACGTTTTAGGTGTTTTATCAGCCTTTTCGTTTTTCCTGCTTTTCGTTTGATATACTGTTAGGCCAGGATGAAAGCCTGCTAAAAGTCAGCAGGTCACACAAAAGCTAGCGCTGTATCAAATACTTTAAAAACAAGTCTGATCATGTACATTGAGCTACATTATCTATTTGTAAGTGCGTCATAATTTAACACACAGCTTAGTCAGTGACTTAAGTTTGAATCCGAAACTTTGTCAGTAGATTTAATGCCAGTTGACCAGGAGTGGAAATTTCCGGCTACAGACGAACTTTTGAAGCCTCTACCAGGCTTGAGGGCGCGGCTGGAAATGGTAGAAATTGGCCAAATAGAGAGATAACACGCCGAGGGAGTTTAGCCATCCAGTTTACAGTTTGCCGGCCCCT